ATGTTTCCTGCTCCGTTCTGAAAAATTACGAAACTAACCACATAAATCAAACTGTAGGCAAAATGAGTTGAGAACAATTGATACTATCAATAACATGAGACAAAAGCGCGAAGAGCCTTGTAGTAAGCTAAAAACTTACGTGCAATAACAAAAGTTACCTATTCGGCTACTAAAACGAAACTTTGGAAGATCAGTTTGTCAAACACATAAACAGACATCTTTTTATCAAATAACTAAACACATTTTTTCGTCAAACACACAAGCAAATTTGATCAACATAACATCTTATTCATAACAAAAAACAGACAAAGAGAACTGACCAATGGTATGAATAGATAAAACTTTGTAATAAGAGAGATTACTTAAAGCATCTTGAGATAACTAATGTTGAGCTTACGTAATGCCTCTACTACGACTGTAGTTTATAAGTCTTTATAACAATTCCAAATATTGGAAAGGAATTTTCAGTGAGGAACGAAAGTGTATACAAAATGTAAAATTCCTCTGAGAATGTTAAAACTGACGGATTCATATTTGTCTGTATATATAGTTAACTTCCAACTAAATACTAACAACACTCATCTACCAAAATAGATTTTCTCGTCAGACTACTACCGATTAACGCTTGATCTTTAGGATACAATATAAGAAAATACGTTACATTTATATCTCGGTTTTAAAAATGCGTCATCTGTAGTAAGAGCAAAGCTTAATTTGTGAGTCCCATACAAGACACTAACAACACATTTCATCATCACTTAAGGCAAAACAGAGTTGTAATAAACACCTCGTAAACAAATAGGAGGATTTAATAATAATAATAATAATAATAATAATAATAATGATAATAATAATAATAATAATAATAATAATAATAATAAGTCCATGTCGTCAATGTGTTAGGTGGAAAATCTAAATACCAGCTTTCTATCCATGTTAGTATGTAATTCTGATGGCCTCATTTAGTTGTATTGGTAATAACAAATGACATTAAAATACATAAGTAGGACTTCACGACTAAATCAAAGTTCCGCAGTTTTTAACAGAGCTTGGAGACTCAACTACACTGAATTGCTAAAACCGAACAAACCCAATATCATTAAATGTGGTAATTTCGAGATACTCTAGAGTCACAAGGGTTCAGCAAAGAGGTTTCTTATGTTACTATAGTGAAATAATGCTCCATATTATTACCATACGTTAATCGACCAGCAAACAAACCACCCGCGTTGATCATCTGACAAGACTGATTCATAGAAAAGAATTCAAACAAAATTTCACATTTTCGGTTGACATACATCCAGAAAATGAAGCAAATATTTTCTAGAAACTCTATTCTTTAGGTAAATAAGATAAACGTCAAAACTCTACACTTTTTGGCGGTTTGAATACTCTGACTAAAAGTTAAGTAGATCCAAACGGTTATTAACTAAATAGGGGAAGTTTTCGATCAACAAGCTTCCAGGTCTATCTAGCATTGACAGGTCATTAGTTAAATGAGACGGATAGCCAGATGTATAGGAGCACGTCGAGAGCAGGAATAACATGTTTAGGGGTTGGGAGCTACAGAGTTATCAATTAATGACTGTGTAGTGACTCACTTTTATAACGAGAACACGATTGGTTTGATGAAAAACAATTATTATTATTATGGCCAATTGTACCTGTACTTGTTTAATGTGCTCTTTTTTGAACTGTGCTAATGGCAGCTATATTATGCTTCAATTATTATTCACACACTTTGATTGTGACTTCGCGCGAATACGGTTACGTTCTGTAACCAAGCTTGTATCCTGGCACGACCTCGGTATCCTTCCGATACCACGAGATCACCAGCAAATAAATCTCGACTTTGTCCATTAACTGCCTTCTGATATTTGGCTTCTGTGGGATTTCTTGGAGTCACCTAGCAAGTATTTCTCTGTAGCGGTGTTCATAGCCTACCGCGACTCGACACCACGCTACAACTGAAAATACTGTAGTTAGTATCAAGTTCGTAAAGTTACAGCATAATATGCACCGGAATACATTAGGCAGAAGAAAAACTGAAGACGTGAACCTGATGTCAGGCTCCAGAACTTGTCCTCCTCTCAATTTCACAAACACAATTTCTCGACTTACTATGACCAGCATTCCCAAGTAGTCAAAACTGTTTTTCAGAAGTTAAGGGACTGAAAATTCAGTCGTCACTAAGTGAAATCAATATGTGTGTGAGATTACTGAGGTGTTTGCATGAATCAATGATTCTCTGGGTACTCAATATATGCAAAATTTTGATTTCCGAGTAGAATAAGGTAGTTTGTGCTCACCTTTTTCTATATGACTGTGGTGTTTGAATGAACTAATGATTCTTTTGTACTTGTTGAATGCTTGATTTCGAATTTCAAATACAGTACATTCTTTCGTGCTTATCTAATACTTCTTGATCCAATTACGTTATTTCTGGGATTCTTAGTTCGTACTATAATTCATTTACTCCTGATCATCATATTGGCGTCGCGATTGAGCCTATGATGGAATGGTTGGACATACAGTCAGATTTTGATGATTTTGAGGATTATTTCGCAAGGTTCGAAATTTGGGCTATGACCAAGGAAGATGATGAGGATGTTAATATTGTGGCACATTTCCTCACATTCATCGGAAAAGAAGCATATAACTTATTAAAAACTCTGGCTTTACCGGAAAGGCCCATTTCGCTTTCTTATACAACTCTCAAGGATCTACTGCTACACTATGTTAAGTATACAAATTTCGAATGTGGTAAAGGAGGAAGATTTCGTAAAATGATTCATGAGGATATAAAAAATTCCATTGCATTATGTCATCCCAACCCAGTGCATATTCAAAGTTATGCAGATAATTCATTGAGGAGTTGAAATGCAGTTCACGAAGATGGGCACAATTTTGGTCAATGTTTTGTCCTATGTCAGGTTCCACTCTTTTAATTCATGTAAATTTCGTAATTCTGAGTGCTTTAAATGTGGTGATATTGGACATATTCAGTCACTTTGTAATACTACTGCTCATCTTGCTGCAAATCATATTAAGTCTTGTTATTTTGATTCCATTAAGTTGAGTATTTATAATGATGATTTATCTTTATCAACGCTTTCAAAAGACAGTGTAGACTTGTAGCGTGGAGTGGAGTCGCGGTTGACTATGAATACCACTACAACAAGACTACGTTCCAGTTAACCGATAAAATCTCCCTTAAGCCAAATATCAGAAGGCAGTTGATGACTGTAGTCGAGATGTATTTGTTGGCGATCTCGTGGTATCGAAAGGATACCGGGATCGTGCCAAAAAAGTACAAGCGTGGTTATCAAGTGTAACCAAACCCGGGCAAGGCCACAATCAATGAGTAGTAATAATATGGCTGTCTTTGGCACAGTTAAACAAACGAGCACAGTAAAACAATCACTTGTACAATTAGTTATAATAATGATTGTTTCCATTAAATCAATCGCGTTCTCTTGATAAAGTAGTAGGTCACTATAGACTCATATAGCAGTTCAGAGTTAAATGAAACTCAGAATTCTTGCGAGACAACAGTTTCTAATCAATCAACATATAAGATTTCTCATCTTATTGTACCAGATATGGGTTTCCCTAATGAATCACTTATTTCTGACGAAATTCTTTGAAAATCTGAGGTAAATATGTTGAATGAACCTAGTCATGATCGAAAACCTGATGCAGTCTTGATAAATGCTGATTTTTCCTATGATCATTTACTGTGCAATAATATTAATAAATTCGAGGAAACTATTTCAGAAGAGTCAAATCTTGATGTCACGTCAAATATTATTTGTCCTCTGAATGCATTTGTATCTTATGGGAAACTTGTTCAATGCAAAGCACGAGTACTAAATGACCTAGACTTTGATAACAATTCAGATGATTTCATATCAACTGTTATTTATCTTTATCATGAAGTCACTTCTCATGTATACTCTAGTCAATGGGAGAAATATGTTTTAAATAAAGCCACATCATTCATAAATTGGGAATATAAATATCCAACAATATTTCGTGGTGGAGGATAGTGTTGAAAAATCTATGGTTCGAATTCTAGATATTAATGACTTCATTACAAAATTGACACGCTTATTGTATACAATTTCAGGACCCAGGTGAGTCTGTTCCGATTTCGGTTGTTAATTCTAATACTAATGAGTACATTCTAGATAATACAGAGTTTTTATCCAATACAATGTCGAACAGACTAAGGATGAACTTAAGAAGAAGACGTACAACCGATTACAGACACTTAGACTTCAATTTAAGCTGTGGAGGATGTGGTGTTTGAATGAACTAGTGATTCTTTTGTACTTGTTGAATGCTTGATTTTGAATTCCAAATACAGTACATTCGTTTGTGGTTATCTAGTACTTCTTGATGCTATTACGTTATTTCTGGAATTCTTAGTTCGTACTATAATTCAAATACTCCTGATTATCACACTGACCTAAATTGCTTTGTTTCAGCGATTCCTTGTTCGTATAATAATCTGAATACTACTAAGCATAACGATTATTCTAAAGTGATTTTCGAATTTCTTTTGTTTTTCGAGCTGAATTGTGACATAGAAAAGCATGAAATCAAATTCTGTCAAAACATTAAATTTCAATTGATTAAAGGACTATCGTAATATTTCACTGTTTTTCTTGATAAATTTGGTTCGTGATGAATTTCGCTGCCATTTGTTTCCACAGTACAATTTCGCATATCATTTGTTCATTCGCACAGATTTTTCCGTGTCCAGATTTATCTTGACAGTCTTTTATTGAAGTTGTTTTTAACATGGTTTTCCACTGCCTATAAATCACCATGAATCCAAGATAATTAAGCGAGAAAAAAAAAGTTATAGATGTAATAAATAAGTGATGCTTTTAATGGGGATTAATTGTTAATATTCGTTTTGGCGGTCCAATCTGATTTAACACCATAGATAGATGTACAAACGTTTATCTCAATTAAACAGTACAAAGTCAATAGGTTAGATGAGTGTATGACCAAACGATAAAGGAAAAATTCAATTCAAGGAATATCAGCCTAATAGTTTACATATTTCAGTTGATTTTAGTTATTCTTGAACATGTCTAACCGCTCACTGTGGAATAAAATGTTTGACTATTACTCATATGTAAGTTTTCTTTAAGTAAATTCAGCTGAGAATGTAAACTTAATAAAAAACGTCCTGTGGCCCTCCATTCTGTTTCACGTTCCTCATTTGTTTGTCTCCTGAAAATAAATATTTTATTTAATTATTAAGTATTGCTATATATGTAAAAAATATATACAAATAGATGATGATTAAATACTGTACTAAAACACAGATTAATGAACGAAGAATATTTTCCTCGATAATTTCTCTTCAGGTTCCACAATTATATATCCAAATTAATAATAATTAATAATAATCGGTCAGGTTTAAGGCAAATTACATCATTTAAAATTATAGTATGTAACTTAAGGATTGTCTGTAATGTGAAACAAAATAAAATCAGAATGGGGATTTATAGAGATTATAGTAGTTTTAAAAGTTGGATTCATGAGCCGATCTAAGGTAGATCGTGGATGTGCACTGCTAGAGAGTCCCATAATAGGACGAAATGGCCGTTCAGTACCTCCAAGTTTTAAATGGTAGCCTCCCTTAGATCGACTCATGAATTCAACTATTAAAATCAGATCGTCAGTGTTGGGGTGACTAATATGAAGTGTTAACTTGAATAATCTAAGACTATCGACATATGTCTTCGGTGTATAAGCTAGCGTAGCGCATCTCAACATTCTAGATAAAAAATGCGAATGAAGTGAAAGTTATAGCTTGAAATAAAATCCTGAATGAAAATTATGCTCTTACATATAGTATTTACTCACTAAATGAACAGGAATTACAAGATAATGCACACGAATTGAACATTTGGAGAAAGATGCACTACGACATTTATCCTATCCCACAATTTATCATCTGTTGTTTGGATGTGTTACAGATAACTGCTGTGAAGGTGAACAAAACTATTTAAAAAAGTATTATTTATCAAAGGAAATTAACCGTACAATCTAAGACATTACGAATAAACTGATTGTCTAAATGAAATTTCCTCCCGGAACTTAAATAACTGACCACTCACGATATTTGAACTGAACTATATTTTGTAACATATTAAATGAACAAACATTTAGAACCATACTACGATTGTCATCTGACCTCCATTTCGTTCGACGATTTTGAAACCATGTTTTCACTTGTACATCAGTCATTTTTAACAGGTTTGCTAGCTCATTCCTCTCAGTCGAAGCCAAGTACTTTTGTTGACGAAACTTTTTTTCAAGTGTTGTCACCTGTTAACAAGTCAGAGAAAATAACCGAAAATAAAGTATTTATCTAAATTATACATAGTTGATTTGAGAAAAGAATATGAAAAGTATAAACAATAATTAATATATACGTAAAGTTTTTAAATTAATTTATTTAAATAATGTTGGTTGCACTAAAATATGCATATGAAATGAGTTGGAAATGTGAATTAATTAGTACTCAACTGGGGTTACTGATTCTAGAAACTAACCCAGTTCTAGTACCAGATTGTTCCCTCCATCCTTTCAACTGATGTTCCTATTTATTCGAATAACCCGTGAAATTTTCAAGCGAAGTGTATCAAAAAATTTACATCTTTCGAATCTAGTTGAAAAGGCACTAAAAATTTACTTCAGCATTGATTTATACTATTAGCAGATAGTTTGAAGAAAACACCACTAAATTTCAACTTTTTTGGAAGTTTACAATGATTAGGTTGCCTAGAACAATAATGAAAGCTCTTTTATTAAATTATTGAGCCCAAATTATATTACTGAAATGTGTAGAACACCTTTGTCAGCATTTGATAACATCGTATTCTAGAAGAAGAAGATACATTTCTCATAACATAAGAAGAAATAGTATGCACAACCATAACAAGAAAACTTAAGCCTCGAAATTCCCCACAAATTACGATGAAAACTTTAAAAAGCTGTTCTTACACAAAATAAAAACATATGGTCAGTGAAATGACACGAACCTTAAGGATATTAAAATCACATTTTAAAATGCATTTATGTATATTTTGAATTAGGTTTTTTAAAACTCCCATTTTAGCCGCCTTTAGCTGTGACTCATCGACCAGCAAAACTATGACCAATTATTTTAATACTTCAAGTTTTATGTGTTAATAGAAACCTTTGAAATCATTTTCCAGTCCTGAGCAATCAAGCAAGTGTAAACTATGTTAAACTTCATTAATCAAAGTAGTTGGAAGACGTTTATCACCTTGTCTTGTAAACTGTTATGTTGAAACAAAGTAACAATAATAAGAACCAGCTGTGAAAATCCGTGAAGTACGGTTATCAGTTATGCTTCCAAACAGATGTTAATATGAATTTATTGAAATAGAAAGTGTCCTAGTTGCGAGGATAAGAATTGAAGTAAGTATTACTAATACTGAGATACGCTGACCAATCAGAGTATTAATCATTCTCATTCTTGTCTAATTGTTGATGAACTGATCTAATTTTTCCAATTTCCAATATAGTCACTAATCTAAGTGGCTCAACAAATAATACACCAAGTTTAGCTGTTTAGGAGTTGAAAGCAAAAATGGGAAGTCTTGTTGTAATTCATCCTTAAGTGGTCAGGCTTGTCCAAATAAAAACAAATAGGATATAGGTTTAATAAGAACTACTGATCAATTTCATGTATAAGTATATGTATTCCAATAATTGTCAGTATTTCCACTGAAAAATAATCTCAGGAACTCTTTCAACATATTAACGCGTTATAGTTCTTATGTGTTATGTATTGAATGTAAGTTATCATTATATTGGTTTTCTACATTCACAAATGTGTCTGTGTACAGAAATGTGTTTAAGACGAATTGTCAAAGTAGGTATTCTAGAGTGCACAACATTATAATATACAAGTTTAGGCTATGTATGCACTTATAAAAACATAACTTCCTAAAAATGATCTCATTTTCTATGAATTGTCAAGGCAATTAAAAGTTATTTTATCAACAAAATAAAAACTTTACTTACTTGATATCTTGTGAATGATGCTCTTGGTTTTTTCCGTTTTCTAGGTATTCTACTCTGATAAGGATGTCCAATTCGTCTTGGCTCTACGTAAATATTATTAGATAAATTTAATATTCTTGACTATAATGTTTGCGACAAACAAGAAATATATGCTCACAATGCAAAAACTGCAATGATAAACGTCCACTGATGTGGTTTCAAGATTACACACAATGCAGTGATGTACTGTGACCATCACATTTTGTATTAAACATTTCAATGATGCTTATTAATATTTACTTAATAACACTGGTTGGTGCATAATAAATTTGATACACAACTTAGTACATTATCCTATGAATAATAAGACATGGTTCATTGTCTTTACATTTGAAAATATCAAAATTTAGATACAATTATTTAACTATATATTGTTATTTAGATGTTTAGCAGTTCAATATCATACATAAACCATGCATAAGTAGGTAAAGATAAACTGTTATGGAATCGTTAATCTGTAAACCGAAATCAATTGACATGTTATGTGCTTTCAAAGTCGTTAGTCTTGCCAAGAATGATGGTGTAGGTTGTTATATCTCAAAGGGCCGCCGATTAGAGGGAAGTGACTTATCGATCGGATCAAAGGATTAAGAATCTCGATAGACTATTCTGGTCCGTTGTCCCCGACTCAGCAAACTCGATCAAGAAGTCTTGGTAAGGCGCAGAAAGTGTATTCTAAAGGCAAACAGCAGATACCAAGTAAGGCCAAGCACATAAATCAAGCGTATTTATACAAATATTTACAATCGATATTGTCATAGTAAAATGTTTTTTAAACATTAATCAATAAGTTCATCAATCGATAAACATTCAAATATTTAATCGATAAGTTCGTCAATTGACTGCTACCTAATCATTTAATCGATAAGTTCATCAATCGACAGGCATTCAAATATTTAATCGATAAGTTCGTCAATTGACTGCTACCTAATCATTTAATCGATAAGTTCATCAATCGACAGGCATCCAAATATTTAATCGATAAGTTAATCGATATGATAAAATTACAAAATATGAGTTCTGGGGATCTATCGTCCCCACCATAGGGTTTACAATATCCTTTGGGGGGTATTTTTGACATGTACATTCTCTTTGTGTTGTGATTATTTTGATATATGGCCTATTTTAACTCTTGATGAATATGTTTTATTTTTCGGGACCAGAGAGTGAATAATAAGTTCAATCAACTATTAAGCATGGAAGAAATTCTGGATATAATGCTTCTGCATTATTACCTGACTTCGGTTGGACAACCATTTAAAACCAGGTACTCCTAGACAGTTATTTCGTTCTAGTATGGGGGGTATCCCATCAGTCTCATCCAAAATCTCACTAGGGATCAAACCTAGGATCTTCAGGGTTCGTGACGAGAAAATAACTTTTAAGTTAATGGGTTGACATCCAATGGTTTCAATTTTGATTAATCTTCAATATTGCATGATAATCATTTGGACTAAATTGTGATGGTCATGAGGACTGAACGTCCCGAGTTTGATCACTTACAAAAATAGTCAATAGAAAGGTCATTCTGAATATCACTGTAAAATCAAATGCCTTTAATTTTATATCTGATTTCACGCAGCTTTGATTGCAACCTAATACTATTTAAGAAAAAAATATTTAATAATTCGGTTCACATCAGTGACATTCATCACTGATTATGTTGTGACTTATAAGATTGTTCGATTACACACAAACATAGGGAGGAGTAATAGAAAAATGCAATCAAGGGTCAATGAACATGTGCCCAGATGGCTTCAAAATCAGTGTGTATCAAATGATCCGATCAATGTAGGAGGTAGAAAACCAAGTTCATCGATAGCAAAACACTTATAAGATTACCAACAAACTTTCAATTGAAATAATTCTTTAATTAGAACTAGACATCGTAAATTTTATCTGTTTAACACATAATACAATTTTCTTAATCATGATGAATTTGAGAATTTCTGCATGATATTAGATTTTGAACCTTAAGATTAATTTAATCGGCATTAATTTTAATTGTAAGTGATTTATAAAAAATAATAAGATTTACAAATATCTGCTGTTACTATCGTTTATCACTATTACGTAGAACTTAAGTTTGTTTTGATAATATGCTACCATAAAGTAAACAATATCAAATTCGACTTAAACACCATCTTATGTAAGTAATTGAACCTGTGGATGAGATTCACTGTCATGATAAGATATAATGTTCATTGACTGCATTGCATTTTCATTTTATGAAACGGAAATAATGATACATTTAACTTTCTATACATCACTTAGAAAATATTCAATACGAAATAAATTCACTTGGTATTGTTTACTTGAATCTTTCCATTGATGTTTAGGACTGCAATCGATCAGTCTCTTATTAGCATATGTGCATACTGTGCGGATTGCCTCGATATTGCCTTAAGTCACAAGCATTTTAAGCAAAGATGTATAGTGGCTAGCAATGGAATCCATAACGCGCGTTTCGTCCTACTCAGGACTCGTCATTTGGATGTACCTACATATCAGAGTTGATATTCAGTATGGGACACGAACCCAGCAGCGTTCGCTTCAAACACCATCGCGTTATCCACTTAGCTACTGAGTCCTGAGTCCTAAACATCAATGGAAATATTCAAATAAAACAACATCAACTGAATTTATAATTCTTAACATTGAGATTGAAATAATTTCAGAACCTACCAATAATATTATCTTTGGATAATTCATTTAAGATAACATTTGGATTATTAGTAAATATATGTGTTAAATATTTCATAATTACAGGATTTGTTATATTATATTCTTCTATATATTTTGTTCTTATTTCATTCAATAATTGATTACTAATAGTTGAATATTTAAATGATTTTAATATATTGATAAATCGTTTAAATTGTGCGGAATTTAAAATGTGTTGAATATTTTTATCATTATCATGTGTTAATGATTCCAATGTTTGTTTTACATTAGAATCGATTAGAAACTCTTTGAATGTTGATGAATTCAATGAATGATCTGATGATGTCATTGAATAATTATGATTATGATTCGTTGAAATAGATGATGTAATTGTTGTGATAGGTAATATTATTTCATTCGATTTATGTATATCAGTGAATGTAATTTGTGTATTATAATTTGATCTCAAAATTTCATTAATACTAAATTTATCTGACATTGTTTTAAAAAACTATTACAAATGATTTAGATTTTATTCTTAAATTAGATCTTAATCTATAATATTTGAATATTGAAAATACTCTCTTCTTTTTCATACCCATTTTTATTGATATTTAATTGGATAACAGAATATAGTTTAATGAGAAGAGTAAATGTAAACGGATTGTTATATGATTGGTTAAAATAATTTTTCGATGAAAAGAAAAAAATGAAGAATACAGTTTGATCAGATGTAGATAGATGATAATCAGTTGGGTAGATAGATAATTTTCTATCAGATGGGTTTTGTGGATATTATAGTAATTTCAATGGTTAAGAACATGAGTCAGTTGAAGCTACACCACCGTGGAAAATCTGGAAGCACTAGACGGCCGTTTCATCCGTTGGATGCCAGCTCAGTGGTCTAGTGGTTAAGTGCTCGCACGCGAAACCAGTAGGTCCTGAGTCCGAATCTCGCAGGGGTGAGGTCTTGGAAGCGCACTGCTGAGGAGTTTCACAATAGGACGAAACGGTCATCCAGTGCTTCCAAGTTTCCCATGGTGGTCTAGCTTTAACTGACTCATGATCTTAACCATTGAAATAATTTTCTACTGAATTGTAAATAAATCTTAGGAATAATAAACTATAAACCTATGAAACTCCTCCTTTTGAATATTATTTTGAATTAAATGTAAATTACAATCTGCCATACCGTATACTGTTTATTGGAATTTTTAAAACTTCTCTAACATTATTTAAATAAGGATCTATCTAAACAAAATGAAATTTGAGTACACAAGTCAATCTAAACTAAATCATTATTGAAAATCTGGAAGCACTGGATGGCTGTTTTGTCTAGCTTAGATTGACTTATAAATTTAACATTGAAAATACTATAATAAACACAAATCCCTAAAATTGAAAATGAAAATTAGCAATACATCTCTACTACGAACAAGAAATCTAAGCGATTAATATTGTTTTCAATTAGATTCTCATTAGACTTTCCTCTAATATACAGTGATATTTATAAGCATAAATAAAAATATTAAATCACTCAAGGCAGTTTATAAGTAAATGATAAGAACAAAATAAATTAAAGAACTTAAAATGATCATAAAGTATGAACTAACAGTAGGATAATAGATATGTTAGCTGTGATAAGAATAATAAAGGCTTAAAATAATGTTTCGCAATAAGGAAGTAGGTTAAGGACTCGGGAAAACAGAGACTAGAATAACATTTATTAAAAGTTGTTAAAGTTACGCAATAGTAAGTGTTCATATCATTAGTATATTGGAAAAAGGGTTGAAGGAAACGAACGATTGGGATGGATATTTTGACTTACTGACATACCAAATTTGTAGAAGTACCAATAAATTAACATTTCACAGAATTGAGAGTGGTTATGTTCCCAAACATTCATCTATGATCCGTACCCACTGTTGGCTTGTGGTTAACTCTGTGTCTCATTGTACCACGGTTTACTTAACCGACAAATTAAATATGAAGAAATATGACAATAAAAGAAGAACAATTAATAATGAAATCAGTTATTTAAATAAAATCATATATGAATTTGAGTCTGAAGCACTTTATAACCACATACCACTACATTCAAGTTAATATGACAAAAATGAAATAAGAGTTAGCTAGAAGAATGAAATATTTGGCCTTAATGAAACTGAGGAGGGCTATCTAATAGCTAGGAATGTTTTGTTCATTGTTCTCTACCAATCAATGAATATATAAACTGTAAAGATAGTTCAAGATTTAAACAGAGTCTGGTGATAACTTATAGTAAATCTTCATGATCGCTTCTTCATTAGGTGATTTTTGCTCCTTGTATTTCATGTGGAACAATAAACTCTTAGTAATTATCTTCAGAATAGTTTGCGTAACACTATGTCTCTGTTTATCGCTAGCAGCTGCTTTTTTTCTGGTATTTTTTGATTTACTATAGAATTTGTGAATTTACAGAGGTTATCTTGTTGTTTGTTATCAAGGATAGAAGTTTATTTTAATTTTAAACAAAAGTCAATTATTCATTCACATCATAGTGACCGTAAAAAACACGTACACACTATTAACTAGCTTAAAAATAAACTACGGAAACTCTAGTGAAAAATCATGGTCAGTCAAGTTCAACCATTCCAACAGTGAACCAGGCGTCATTTAAGGCATTGGATGATATCACAAATAAATTAAATTTGAGAATTTCGTTAACCAAAAACTGGCTCGCCGTCATAAACTATTGTGCTCAATGTAAAATCTTAAGGTGTATGTTTCGGTTCACTGTAATCAATCGCTGTTATGCAATAATGAAGAGTAGCAAACCAGGGTAAAAAAAAACCTATTTCGTGGTCACTATTTTTCAGTGATTTTTTAGCTAACGTTTATTCATAGAGAAAGCTAAACTGTTTCTACAGAGTTTCATTTTAATAATCTTCAAAGTTATCTCATTTCATAGAACACAAGCGATAATTGTAACATACCTAATAAATGATGTCTAGACCATGACGATTTGTAAATACCTTTTAAACAAGGTGGTTATACAGCATTATTAATTTTGAGAATATATAACGGTTGGTATAAATTGGAATTTTAGAACATTCTATAATATATTTATTTTCCTTGTGCTTATAACTTCATGTCATAAATATAAATTCAGTGGCAGGATTCGTGAGAAACCAGCTTTAAGTCTTTGAAAAAGTAACTTCATTTTCTCACTGAAGAGCTAAGGATTTTGATAAAAGTCATGGAGCATCAAATTTAAAATAAGTCTGATTCCTGTCCCATACAATATATCCAGCTTAAAGTATGGAATATATTATTACCCAAACACTTAACTCAATAATGGATTTCATTGGCTGGATAGTAGACCGTGTAACATGGTTTTATAATCAAAGATAAGTGAAACATCACTGAGCTAACTTTTCACATATATAACAAACATCTTATAAACTACACGATTTCCACATTAAATACTTAATCACGACTTTATTATTCTTTGTACAGTTTACATTTGTATGATTAAACTACTCTTTAGATGTTGTAACACGTTGTTTCGGCCACACTTATACTTTCGAGTTATAGATATGGCTTACACAGACATAAAATTTAGTAAGTTTAAATAAATCTGTCATCTAAACAATCTTAAAATATTGTAGATCACTACAATTCAGTACAACTCCGCTTAAAAATTCATCACATTACATACTATCGACTTCATCTATGATTCAGCATAACGATCCTAAATCATTGTAATAAATAATTTTCATTTGAATTGGAATATAATAGGCATTATTTCTAGACATCTTTATTTTGTCCAGTAAATTTGCACAATTTTTATTTGCTTATTGCTATTCCTAGACCAATTCACGTTACACAAATTCAAATTTGTTTTATGGCGGCTCACAAATTATTTGTATTATGGCGGCTCACAACGTATTTGTATTAATGTATCCAATGAATAAATTTAGATATCCATATTCAGACACATAAGGATTAATCGTTGAATTTATGAGTCAATTAAAGCTAGACTACCATAGAAAACCTGGAAGCACTGAACGACTGTTTCTTTCTAGTATGGGACCCCTCAGCAATGCTCATCTTCAATCCCGTCCTCAGGATTCGAATCCAGAACCTATCGGTCTCTATCTTAGACTCATGAATTGAATTATTAAATTACTAAAATCTCCACAAAACCCCCTTCTGACATAAGGATTATTGTTTTTTACAATACCTATTTTGACAGTATGAATATGCTAAGCATCAATTAATATTATACACCCATATCAGTACTAAAATCTCTTGCAATCACTTCATGCTTGAATTACTTTTAATTACTTAATAATATGTCTATTCTGTTGTTAATACTTAAAGCAAGAAGATTTCATATACATGAGAATATTTTGTTAACACTGATAATATATTCTACCGTTACTATGATAATAAGTCAACTAAACATATAAACATAATATTTATTCTACTAGGGAGAAAAGAAAACTTAATTTAAAAAAAATTAATCAAATTAAGCAAGTTTAATTAAGTTATCCTATTTGAAGTGAACGGGAAAAAGATGAAATTATAGTCTATTAAATTAATTAATTAATTAAATTATTAATATATACACATTCTCTGATATGTAGTCAAGTAGAATATTTATTCCCTATTTAAAGAAGCCCATCATATTTCATCTGATTGACCTAAATTATTACTTTACTTTAAATAAAAACGAATATAACTTGATTATTAGTGATTAGCCATATGAATTAGTGAATATGATAATGTATGTTTATGCATGATTAAGTGTTTAGCAATTTTTGTTTTGTAGATATGTATATTCAGAGAATAAGTTGGGTCTTTTTTTTTCTTTCTTGTATAAAGATTGACACTTTTAAGTTATAATCCAAAAAAAATGAAAAAAAAGAAAGAGAAAAGACAAGAAAAGAAAAAGAATTAAAATCTTTTCACTATCTATTTAAATATCAATCTAATGATTAGTGGACAATTGATTTGATTAAATTAAAGTAAATTTCTCTTGTTTTAAAAAATGCAAAAAGAAAAGAAGAAAAAAAGAAAAGAAAAGAAAAGAAATAGATTCCAGTACTAATTAATGTTGTAATTAAAGGTGAGATGATTGTCAGTGATTATATTCTGATAGTTTATTAGTTTTAGTTCATTTCTGTTTGTTATTTTTACAAATTATAAATGGCATAAGTAAATAAATAAATAGATATTAATCAATGGATATTAACTATTCAATATTCCAATTGATGGTAAAATAAAATGTTCAAATCAATCATAATGATAATTATGTTAGAATCTATTTTAAATGTCTCATTATTAGATATTCAAAATGATTAATCATGAAGTTAAACATACAAAAGCATTTTTGTAAGCAATGATGGATAGTGGCTAGCAGTGGAATCCAGGACGCGCGTTACGTCCTATTTGGGACTGTTAGCCACTATCCATCATTGCTTACAAAAAGCTTGTGAATTAAGGCAATACCGA